GGTTATAAACACATGATTATTATATCTTGTTTCTTTTCTTTTCTGATATCGGGTTATTTAAATTCTCCGTTTCTTCTCTTACTCTGGATTTTGCTATTTTGTCAGTATTCATTCTTAGCTGCCAGTGCCCTACCCTCTCCCACCCAAGTTGTCTTCCATCTCCTCTGTGTGAATCTTGTATGTACTGATTTATGTACGGGTTGTCTCTCCTGCTAGAAGGAAATGCTTTGAGGACAGGTACTGTTTTCTTGCATGGTGCCTGGAACACGTAGTAAGCACTTGTAAGAAAATGTTTGTTAAATGGCTGACTCTCTCTGAGACATTTTCCTCGTTTGTAAAATGGAGATGATTTTTAAAATTTAAAAATGATTTAAAAATTTTAAAAATAATCATTGCCCCACCTACTTCATGGGGTAATTAGGAAAATCAGATATCAGATGAGATCCTGGGTAGAAAGGATGGCAGCTGCTAAGCACCGTGGGCTTCCAGCTAGCTGCCGATCTTATCTGCTCAGCAAAATGTTCCCAGAGGATTTCATTGAGGTGAGACCAGTGAACTCAACAAACCCTTCAGACCACAAAGTGATATTCCATGGAAGCCTCTTCCCCCTCACCCCCAGCCCTTCCCTTTCATTCCTCATTTCATTTGTCTTTATTCCTCTGTTTTTTGTGAATAAGGATCACAGGGTCATCGAATATTTCAGTGGGGAGAGACCTTGGCCCAGCCCCCTCATTTTGCTGATGACAGTTTTCTTTCGACACCATGTTTTTACTCAATGGTCTCATGCTGTTTTCCTGTTTGACGTGTTATTAGCTGGTAAGGGACCACAGTGGGCATTGTTGTTACTTGTGGGCTCTGGAGTGATTGCCACTCGTGAGAAAAGTACTTTCTTAGGTTGCTTCCTATGTTCCCATTGGATCATTAGAAAAAATACGAGGGGAATATATTCTGTGTAGCCGACTTTCTTCTAAAAGTTCCTTTCCTCCCTCCTTTCCTTCCTTCCTTTCTCCCTCCATGCTTTCCTTCCTTCTTTCCTCCCTTCCTTCCCCCCTTTCCTCCATTCTTTCCTTCCTCTCCTTTTCTCCTTCCTTCTCTCTTCCTGCTATTCTTCCTTCTTCCTTTTCTCCTTTCTTTCTTCTTTCCTCTCTTCCCACTTCCTCCATTCTTTCCTTCCTTCCTTCCTTCCTCCCTTCTTCCCTCCATTCTTCCTTCCTTTTTTTCTTCCTCCCCTTCCTTCTTTCCTTACCTTTCGCCCTCCCTTCCTTCTTCTTTCCCTTCTTCCCATAAATATATAAGTATTAGAAGTTTGGAGAGACCACTAGATTTGTTTTGTCTGGCCTGAGAAGGCAGACCTAGGAACAGGTGAAAGCAGAGAGACAGATTTAGGATTATAAGGAAGGATGTTCTAACAATCCTGTAAGGGGCATTGGCTGCCTAGAAGTAGTTGGTTCTACCATATTGGAGACCTTCCACCACAGGCTGGAAGTCTACTTCTTGGTAGGGTCACAGGGGAGATTTTTATTTTGTCGAGGTAATTGGAGTTAAGTGACTTGCCCAGGGTCACACAGCTAGTAAGTATCAAGTGTCTGAGTCCGGATTTGAACTCAGGTCTTCCTGACTCCAAGGCTGGAACTCTGTCCACTTTGCCACCTGGTTGCCCCTGACAGGAGAGATTTTTTTTGATCCCGTGTGAGGCTAGACCAAGGCCAGATGTCCCATGGGCTCCCTTTGCACCCTGAGGCCCTACCCTGAGTGACTTCCAGGGCATCTTCAAGCTTTCAGTTCTGCCCTCTCTGTTCCTCTCAGTTCCTCCGACTTAAGGGTTGCCGTCTTGCACGTTTGTTGATGTACAGCTAGTACTATCAGCTAAATAAACCTTCTTCATCAGCCCCATTTTTAAAAGTCAGCGGCAAGGTTCTCTGCGATCCGGATAATCAAAAGCCTGCCCGTTGCATTAATTACACATTCAACACTTACCTCCTTGTTTACCTTTCTTCCTCTGGCATCGTTTCAGATGAGCCTGGAGGCTTGGGATGCGGCAAGGCAGCCTGGCTACAGGGATGAGCTCATTAGTGGTAGATTTCTTGGGCAATGATGGGGGAGGGGAGTAAAATTGGCATTTAATTGACCATAATTAAGTTCCCTCCTTAAGACACCCTCAGGATGAGTAGCAGGGATCCCTTGTGCCAAGCTTTCTGTTTTTCTGAAGAGCGTGTTTTTATTCTCTGGTTTCTGCAAACTCAAGAGGTAGAGGCTGTGAGTGTCTGGCCTTGAGCGAAAGCCTGATTTTATGATGGAGAAGTTAATGCAGCCTCTGGAAACATCCTTAATTCTCTCTTGCTGTTTGTCAGAACTTTGGAAAAGAGTTCCATTTGACTTTGTTTCTTGTATAAGCCAGTGGTTTATACACAACTCAGAAGTAAAAACAACCAACCGAAGTAAAATTGAGGATGCACCCACAGTATTTGCATTTCCTCCTGCTATTGTACTGTGGAACCTCTGTGGCCCTCTGCTTCCTTTTCTGTGTAATGATGCTTACTCATTGTAAGACCTTTGCTAGTCAGAGGATCTTAGATCTAATACTGAAAGGGACCTTAGAGGTTAGCTAGTTCTAACCTCTTTATTATATAGATTAGGAAACTGAGGCCCAGACAGGTCAAGTGACTTGTTCAGGCCTACAGAGCCAGTACATATCTGTGACAGGACTTTCTGAGGGCCAGTTCCCTGTCTACCATGCCATGCTGCCTTTCAAACATGAAATATTCTCATTTCCCCAATGCCCAACAGAGCTTACTGCTCACAGTTGAAGAGAGGGATGATGGGAACTGGTGGCTGTCTGGATTATGAGGGAATTTCCTTTAAATAGCACCAGAGGGAGTCTGTAGCTTCTCCATTGTGGAGGAGATTGACAAGAAGGCAGGGCCAGTACCCTGATACTGTGGCCTTTATTACTGTTGTTGTTATTTTTGGTGTTTTCTTGCCAGTGGCTGTGGGCATATCCCGCTTGTCCTCCCCACCCCACTTCATCATCTCCGCATCCTTTTGAAATGCATCCCTGGTCTTAGGTTAAGACAAGATTGGGATATGAAATGTTCTTGGCAGGGCTTCCCATGGAACACAGGAAATAGCTCCCCAGGATCTCTGTTTCATCATGTCTCAGGAAGGCTCGCTCATCTTTCAGATGGCACAGACAAGCAGCCTGTCTGGAGGACCCTTTGCTTGCCAAGCTTACTTAGGTACCAGCATAGCTAGCTCCCGAGCAGGGAAGTGCAGTCAGCCACCCCTCCCCTCCTGCAGGAGACCTGGGCTTGAAAGGCTTGTGAAACTTGGGGAAACTGAAATCTTAGGGTCCTAGAAAGGATCGTCATGGTCATAGGCTAAGATCCAGAGCTGGAGGGGGCCTCAGAGTATCTGCTTAGCCCAGTGCCTTCTTTTTACAAATGAGGAAACTGAGGCCTAGAGTGGGGAAAAGGTCCTGCTAAGGTGTACTAGGAGATCATATTATTTAAAGTAGGCTTCTACTAAGTTCTTTTTTTTTTTTTAAAGCAAAGTACTATTTCGTACTGATATTTATCCTTTTTTATTTCTTATCTGAATCAGGATGTGGTGCATTCTTACTTCCATATACATCTGTAAGTCCTTGATTAACTGTGCTCATGTGTCAGCCAGCCCAAGACATACTTTCAAAAATGTCTCCTGTAACTTCTTTCAGTACATCAGGAGAAAGGTGGGAGAGTGGTGGAGGGGTGGGGGCCTCGGCAGAGCTGGGACAGCCACTCTAAGCCTTGATAGGTAGCTGCATATATTCCGCTGATTTGGAGTCGTCCCCGATGGCAAGCCCTCTGGGAATGAGACTTTCTGACCCACCGTCCTGGGTAGATTAAGGAGCTAGTAGATGGAAGGAGTTTAAGAAAAAGAGGTCCAAGATGAAGGGAAGTTTGTTTGGTATGGAATAGGAATTCCAGAAGAGGAACAGACCCTCACAGAGCACACCCCTGCCTCGTGCTGGTGGCTGGGGAGGCTGCCTCAGCCCTTCCTTCCTTCTCCTCTGGCTTACTGGCTGCCCCAGGGCAGGAGCAAATGCAGCAGCAGATTGGAAGCTGAAGCTGAAGCCAGACCCAGGTAGAGACTGAGCTTCACTATTCATGGGTCACCCACTGTTATCTCTTGTTTCTTTTCCTTTCTCTCTATCCATTCATCACTGGCCGTTTTGGAAAAAACTTATCTCCAGCCTTCACCTCTCACCTGTCTCCATCCTCCTCAACCATGTCCCACATCACCACCTGCCCCTTCTATGGTGCCCTCTGGGATTTCTATTTCCTAAGGAGCAAAGTCCCCTTCATTCTGAATTTCTCTCTCTTTCACTCTTTCCGTCTCCTTTTATGAGGGCAGGAGTTGGGGAGGGAAATGAGACTGAGCTAAGGCCACGCACCCATAGAGAAGGGAAGTAAAACATCCCGGAGGTTGATAGTTAATGGCCACCAGGGTCTGGGTTGGCTGATAAATTTGGACGGGGGCCCCTCAAAGGCTGCTGAGTGATGGCATATGGTAGAGGGAGGGTTAGGCAATGGGGAGCAAGGAGTTTCTGACGCTGCTTCCCAGACGGTGAGTTGGGAGGCATGAGAAGATGCAGCCCATATTGGGAAGGATGGCTGGGGACATAGCGTCATCCCAGGGATTCAGGAGATGCAAGGAAGAAGAAAGGAGGCCATCTAAAATGAAGGCTTGATAGTTTGACAGTGGGAGTTCCAGAGGCGCAGTGGGGAGGGCGGCCCGACTGGAGTAGGACGTGGTGGGGTAGGAGTCAGGTGAACGGGGGGATGAGGGAGCAGACGCCCGGGGAGCAGGACAGCATTTTGATCCATGAAAGTTTCCTCAAAGCCCTATGTCCCCCTTCTCCCTTCTTTTATTTTGGAAACAGTTGGTGGGCATATTTTGTTTTCGCCAGCCCTCTGTTTGTCCTGTCACAGCTGACACTGATCAGATGGTTCGCATTGTAGGTATCCTGGTCGGACATCGGAGGGCTGGAAGACATCAAAGTCAAACTGAAGCAAACTGTGGAATGGCCTTTGAAGCATCCGGAGGCCTTTGCCCGGATGGGGGTTCAGCCGCCTACAGGAATCCTTCTCTACGGGCCGGGGTGCTCTAAAACAATGATAGCCAAGGCCCTGGCCAGCGAAAGTGGGCTCAACTTCTTAGCCGTGAAGGTGGGTTTGTGACTAGCCTTTTCTCAGCCCATCCTGATGGCAGGGCGGGAGAGGGTCTGTGTTGGTGGGGGAGGGGGGGAGGGGAAGAGAAGGGGTGGAGAGAGAGGAGAGGGAGAGAGAGGAGTGGAGAGGGAGGTCAGAGAAGGGGAGAGAGAGAAAGGGGATGGAAAGGGAGGAGAGAGAGAGAGAAGGGGAGGGGGGATCAGAGAAGGGGAGGGAGAGAGAGAAGTGGAGAGGGAGATCAGAGAAGGGAAGGGAGAGAGGAAAGAGAAGAGGATAGAGAGAGAGAGGAGAGGGAGAGAGAGAAGTGGAGAGGGAGATCAGAGAAGGGGAAGGAAAAGGGGAAAGAGAGGAGAGGAATAGAAGAAAATGGAGAGGAAAATCAGAGAAGGAAAGGGAGAGAGGAAAGAAAGGGGAAGAAGAGGGATGACAAGAAGAGAAGGGAGAAAGGGGGGGAGAGAGACAGAGGCAGACTAGCCTAGCTCTTGAGTGGCAGAAAGTCTTTGCTCTGTCTCTGGGTATTAGCATTTCTGAAGCCCACGTCTGAGATGGAAGCGTGTGCAGAAAGGTGTCTCCTTCAGATGAGTACACGAGGAGGCCTTGGTTGGAGGCCGGTCTCCAGCACAGTTGGAGGCTGGATTCTCTACCTCTGAACCACAGAGTGAATCCCATCACTCCACAAAGAACACGAGGCTGACATCCTCAGACCTCTCATCACTTCAGGGAAATCTGAACCTTTTTTTTTCTCTAAAGCTAATTTGTGCTCGGTGAAATTGAAGCACCAGATCAATTTTAAAAATTGTCCCTAGATGTTGTTCTGATGTTGGGGCCAGGGACTTTCTTGTGGTTCAAGAAGAGTTTCTGACCTCATGGTATGTAATTCTCAGGTTTTTAACTGCATACCTTGTTTCCAAGGAGTTGGCTAGTGCTTTTCATTATCCTGGTGCTTTTAAAGACTGATGTTGTGATAAATTTGAAGACGGCTAAGGACTACACCTGTGATTTCATTTCTGTAGGGAACTCCCAGGGAAGAAAACTCCCATCACCAGTGCAGGACCTTAAATAGCTTGTCCTGCATCTCATAGATGTTTTGTGTCAGAGGCAAGGCGTGAACCCAAGGCTTTCTAGGTCCATGGTTCACGGTCCTAGGTCCACCTCTCTCTCCCTATGTCGCAGCTGTCTCTTGCAGAGAGCCTGTGTCACCCTGGGGGAGTCACTGTGGAACTTAACGGTAGGCCTTTCCTCTGCTGCTTGTCCAGTTTGTCCCATTTGTGTCTTGCTTGTATATGGTCCTATGACTGTTGTCTTCCCCACTGGACTGTGAGCTCCTTGGGGGCAGAGACCGTCTTTTGCCTTTCTGTGCATTCCCTGCATTTAGCACACAGTAGATGCTAAATAAATGCTCATTGGTTAATTGGCTGATTTAGCTAGGCCTACATTTTTAAAATGAGGAGTAGGACTGAATGGCCTCTGGGGACTCTTCCTGCTCTGTGATCCCAAGTTGGGGTCTCTGATGTCATCACCAAAACCAGCCCTTGATGGCTCATGTACTTTTGGTTTTACATCTACATCTTTGAGATGTAGGCCTCAGGCCTGCTGTGACTGGTCCATCCATTCACCAGACACTTAGTGAGCACTTTCTCTGTACGGGGTGCTGGGCTATGGAGCGTAGTTCTAAAGCTTCGCCAAGATGCAGACCTTGCCTTCAAGTAGTTTGTTATTAATTGGGGAATAAGGAACTAACACATGTCACTTTATAAAAAAGTAGTAACAGGTGACCTTTGCCCAGCTCTGTAAGGTTAACAAAGCGCCCAATCCGTGTGACCTTGTTTGAGGCTCACAACCCCCTCTGAAGGGGAGGTGCGTGCCATCAGTCACCATTTTCAGATGAAGAAATGAAAACTTAGGGAGCTCGAGTGTTTTGTCTGTGGTTACACGGCGAAATGTCTGTGGCACAAATACAAAAATACAACATTGTGGGCCAGGCGCCTTGAGAGTGTTCTGAAGCAGTGTTTGGAGAGCTCCAAGAGGGGAGATATGGCATGGGGTGTGGGTGGGGGGGCCCCCCAGGAGGCTTTCTGGACTTAGATTAGATTAGGGTTCTGTTTCTGCCCAAGTGTTTGGGGAAAGTCTGAGGCTTTGTGATGGGGCTCCTCAGTCTCTCTCCCTTGCTTTTATCTGTTTGTCTATCTATATCTATCTGTCTGTCTGTCTCTCTATATCTATCTATATGTGTCTATCTCTATCTATCTGTATCTCTTTTTGTCTCTATATCTATCTCTGTCTGTCTTTTTGTCTGTCTATATCTTTTATATCTGTCTGTTTACCTGTCCATCTACCAATCTATCATGTGTCTGTCTGTCTGTCCATCTATCTATCTGTCTGTCTATCTATCTATCTATCTATCCATCTATTTATAGGAACTCTGGGTCCCCCCACATTTTGAGCAGCTCTTACTAAGGACAAGGTCTGTGTTCAGTTGCCTAGCCTGCTGTTGTCTTTGAGCTGCTGGAGATCTAGACATGGTCGGGGAGACCAGCTCAAACCCTTTAGGCTCAGAATACCAAGGAAAATCAAAGAACCTTTCTGCCATCCTCCCTAATCAATAAGTCAGTCTTCCCAGTTTCTGTCAAAGGCACCGTCATCCTTCTGGTCTCCCAGGTTAAAAATGTTGGCTTTATCTTAGTCTCATCCCATATGACCAACCAGGTGTTAAATCTCCCCATAATTTAATTCATTTTTCCTTTACGGATTTAGATGCTGTGCCATGATAAATTTGCAGGTATCTGTGTGTATATACATGTACACACGTGCGTATTTACACACAGCATTGGTATTGTATCATTATGGTGCTCTTCATCATAAATTGATTGAGGAAACCCTTTTTTGCGTAAGCGTTCACTCGTCTCAGTCAAACCCCAGTCTTATAGGCTTAGACAAACATCATTTTATTAATAGTATAACAAACAATAAAAATACATTTAGATATTTCAGTGGCACATCAGCTGTGAGAAACCTCACATTAAGAGTTACCTCTAATCACCCACTGTAACTGCTGCTATCTCTATAGATAGTAGATCCATAGGCCCACCATTCAACTTTCTGTGAGTGTCAGGGTCTGTTTGTTCTTGACCTGGGGTGGGGAACCTGGGGCCTCGAGGCCCTCTAGGTCCTCTAGTGCAGCCCCTTGATGGAATCCAAACTTCACAGAACAAATACCCTTAAGAAAAGGATTTGTTCTGTAAAGCTTGGACTCGGTCAAAAGGCTGCACTTGAGGACCTAGAAGGCCACATGTGGCCTCGAGGCCCCAGGTTCCCCACCCCTGGCCTTGACAGTTAACTCAGAAACAAAGGCTCTCAGTTCTTACCTTCTGTGCTTCACATAGTCTTTCTCACCCTGAAAACTCACTGAAGTCTTTGGATGAGAAACCATCTTTACTCATGATTCCATTCCCTCTTAAGGTACAGTGTCCACAGTTTGTGTGGGAGGCCCGTTGAAGCCGGTATTGCATGAGTATAGATGGGCTTTGTGCTTTGTCAAAAGCCTTTTCTTAATTTATTGATATAATCGTGTGGTTTGGGGTGTTTTTGTTTTAATATCATTAACCATGCTAATTGTTTTCCTAACGTTGAGTCAGCCTTCTATCCCTGGTGTCAATCCAACTTGGCCATAGTGAGTAATTGTTTGGACACATCGCTCTGCTCCTCTTTCCCCATGTGGATGTGTTTTGCTGCAGGTTGTTACACTTGACAGTTGCTGAAATTTTGTTTGTCATCTGGGTCACTGACATCAGAATATTTTTCACTGGCTGTTTCCTCTCTCTTTCCTCCCTTGCTTTTGGCTTCCGTGACTAAAGGGGATTAGTGCATTTCGGATGGCAACAGCTCTCGTGGTGTTCTGGAGGAAGGCTGGGCTGGCCTCAGGCCAGGGTTTTCACCAGGCCTCCTATTAGCCAGATTAGGAAGCACTGAGATGAACAAGCTAGGTGCATTCATGGCTTCTTGAGAGAACCTTGGTTCGCTTTTGTGTACTGGCCTCATAGAGAGACTGGACTATGTGTGTTCAGTGTAGAAAAAATCCTTGCTTTATTCATAGGACTCCACTCCCAAAAGTTAGTGCTTCTCTGCAGACAACCTGTTATTCGCCAGTAAGTGGTCAGGTCACATGCTGTGCCGTTTCACGGTTTATTTATTTATTTTTTTCGTGATAAATCAGAGAAGCTCTTAGGTCGTTGAGCCTGACCCTTCATTTTGTTATATAGTGTTTTATTATGTTATACTGATGACCTTTGTTCTTATGTCACTCTCATACCTCACAATATCCCCCTCCAGAAGGAGTCCTCCATCGTGACAGAGGAAAACACGTAAGTGAAAACAGCCACACAAGCACTATGCATCGCCATCATCGTCATTGTATTAATAATACTAGTTTAGAAAACTAAAAATCCATTAATTAATAAAAAGTCAAAAAAACCAGTTTACATAGTATTTTAAGATTTATAGAACTCTTTACAAACATTATTATTTTTTGTTATAAAATAATCAATCTTTATTGACCAAAATAGAAAGTAAATTTTGAATAATCTTATTCCAAAATAATTAGAAAACTAAAGTCAACTTTATTATCCCTATTTTTAATTTCGAATAATCTTAATTCAAAATAATTAGAAAACTAGAGTCAACTTTATAATCCCTATTTTTATTGTCCCTATTATTATTCCTATTTTACAAGTGATGAAACTGAGGCAGACAGAGGGTGAATAGCTCATCTTAGGTCCCCAAACTAGGAAGTGTCTGAGGTCAGATTTGAACTCAGGTCTTCCCGACTCATGGTCTGGTCTTCTCTTCACTGTGCCACCCAGCTGCTACCCTGACAGTTGTATGTACATGACAATTTAGCTAAGGCAGCTAGTGGTTAGAGCTCTGAACTTGGAATGAAAAAGACTTGAGATTCAAATCCTGCCTTAGACATTTATTAGCTGTGTGACTGCGGACAAGTC